AAGTAGTTTATAACTGAAAGATAGCGCACCACGATTTAACCCACTGATGGGTTTTTCAGTACTACTCATTATTTATTATAAAGTTTATTTTAATTTGCAAGTTCATAGTCAGTAATGGAAAACTCATTACCAATGTTTAAAGTTCAAAATTTGTAAATCAAATTAATTATACCTTCATGGCCAACTTTACTCATACACGCTAACACCTAAGTGTAAGTGGTACTTGAAATACTGACGTGAAAAATACTAGATTTTTTTAATATTTTGTATTTGAAATTTCAAACACCAGAGTTTCAAATTTATACTTTATCTTCTCCAAGTTTGTTTTTGTACCATTTGATATTCTCGTTCTATATTTCTTAATTTTATACAATCAATAAAAATAACCCGGTCGAAGTTTGGCCATAGGCAAATGGTAAACAGGGACGGATTTGATATATTCTGTAACGAATTTAAGTGAGGTGTCTGCGAGGGTCGCTTGCGGTTGTAGAATATTAACTTGTTGTTTGTGTTCATAGGTCGAATGTAGTTGACCTTCATCATTAGAAAAATAATTTGTCTCAATATTTCAACCCCAATAAATCTTTGACGATCAACGATCTTCCTAAATGCAACCCTGAAATTTAACCATATGTCAAAGCACACAGAAATATAATTTAGATGCTCTTTATTATCTCTTTTGTAAACTCAAGTAATTTAAAGGTTCCTTGTTAATTGTTAACAGCTTTCGAAATAAAAAATTCGAAAAAATTGTAGTTTTATGTTTCATTTTCATATTTTGTGTACAATATTAAAGTGCACCTAATATTACAAAATAATTGTTCGATCCTTCAAAGATTGTAATAAAATTGCCAATATACGACAAACAGTCGTAAATAAAACTTTATCTTCTAAGAGTCATAAAAAGTAAAGAAAACTTGAAATTCGGCAATAGTTAAAGTTACTGTTAGTCAATAATTTAAAAAGCTAACTGTTAAAAACAATGGTAAAGTGTTTTGTCGATGTACTCATCAAATATCTTACAGGTATCTGTCGTATTTAAAAATGAATTTAGAACTATAGTAACAGGTAGTCTAAAAGTAACTAGAATAAATACTATAACCGTAAAATGGTGTAAATACAAACAAAATATACAACAATTATAATATTTCGGTCCTTTAATTTAGGGCTGAAACCCTATGGTATTAAAACTAAAAGAATCTGATTAGAATGATCACCGTACTACTAGCAATGAGCTATTACAACTACCGAGAGAGCAATATAAAGCGCGATCAAAGACAGGATTTTTTAAAATTTGCCTCTAATTATTTATATTTTTAATAGAAACTTTCAAATTGATGGTAATGCGACAATACAAAAATTCTATCAAAGACAAATTTTGAAAACACCCATGGCTGTCTTTCATATTGTACTTTTTATTGTTCTCTCGGTAGTATACCACTGATTATTATCATATATAATTTTCCTGCTAGTATCATCTCAGTGCAAACAAATATTTGAAAAAAAAGTTCTTGTTTATTTTGTAATTTCCAAAAAAAGAATTTCCAAGGCCGTTGTCAAATTCTTCAAGTTTATTTATCACCCACGTCGGTTTAATGAACACTATTCAGCCAGATTTTCCATTTCTCACATTTCTCATTTCTCACATTTCTCATTTCTCACATTTCTCATTTCTTACATGTCTCATTTCTCACATTTCCCATTTCTCACATTTCCTATTCTCACATTTCTTAGTTCTCATGTTTCTCTTTTGCCACATTTCCTATTTCTCACATTTCTCATTTCTCACATATCATATTTCCCACTTCTCATTTCATATTTCTCACTTCACGTGTCTTATTAGTTCTCGTTTCTCCCACAGCTCGCATCGTTCATTTCTCCGTTTCACCCTCATGTTTCTCATTTCCCTTGTCTCATATTTTGCATTTCCCACCTTTCTTAAATCTCATATTTCCCATTTGTTCTCATTTCTCACATTTCCCCTTTCTCACATTTCTCATCTCTCATGAGGGAATGAGAAATGAGAAATGTGAAAAATAAAGAATGTGAGAAATAAGAAATGAGAGCAATGAAAAACGTTAGAAATTCTACCACATTTCCCATTTCCCACATTTGTCATTTCCCACGTTTGTCATATTTCTCATTTGTCAGTTTATATTTCTTCTTTCTCGATTTTTCTCATTTCTCACATTATTCGTTACTCACATTTTTCATTTCTTAGATTTTCCATGTTTCATATTTCCCATTTCTCGCGTTTATCATTTGCAGGTTTTTCAATTCTCACGTTTCTTATATTTCGCATTTCATGTTTCTCAGTTCTTACTCCGTCTCATTTATTACGTTGCTCATTTCTCACATTTACCATTTATCAGGTGTCTTATATAAAACGTTTCTCATTTAGCATTTCTCATATTTCTCATTTTTCACATTTACCATTTCTCACATTTCCTACTTCCCACATTTCTCATTTTAAACATTTGTCACTATTCATATTTCTCACATTTCTCGTTTCTCACATTTTGCATTTATAATTTCATGTTACTTGCTTCCCGTTTCTTATATTTTTCATCTCTAACATTTTCCATTCTTACGTTTCTCGTTTTCCACGTTTCTCATTTCTCATGCGTTTCATTTCATAAACCCCGTTGTTAGTTACTTATTACTCATTGCTCATTTTGCACTTCGCATTTGTAATTTCTCATTTCGCACATCTCGTTTCTCATTTTGCATTTCCCATTTCTCATTTCACATTTCTCTTTTTTCACTTCAGGTTTCTCATTTATCATTTGGCATTTCTGATTTCACATTTCTCATTTCGCACATCGCGTTTCTCATTTCATATTTCGCATATCATATTTCTCATTGTGAGAATGTGAGAAATGAAAAATGTAAAAAATATGTGAAATGTGAGAAATGTGACGAATGAGGGAAAATAAGAGAAAATGAGAAAAAATTAAAAACTTGAGAAATAAGAACGTAAGAAATAAAAAATGTGAGAAATGTAAAAAATTCGAAAAACTCTCCCAATTATCACCATTTCAAAATTTTACCGAATAAATCACTTGTGATTTATAGTTGCATTCAGAATTTTTAGATTTGCTTATATAGGGCAACTCAAAAAAAATGAATGAGTCAATTTATTTTATTGAATAAATCAGGAACTACAAAACCGAATGCTTTGAAAACTTGCAAACGTTTAAAGGTTATCGTAATCACGATAAATCATTAGTCAAAATATATACGTGTATCCTCTCCCAAAAAATTCATGACGGCATCGGCATCTCAAAATTTTGTCAAATAAATTCCTGGTTAAATTATGTAAAATATTATCACTTCACACTTGTGATTTACTGATTTATGATTGTATCTATATTTTTTATGTTTGCTTATGCAGGTGACTTAAAAAAATTAATGGATGAATCGATTTCTTTTATTGATCAAATCAAGGACGGCTCAAGCCATGTTCCCAAAAATTTGAGAATATTAGTTATTATTAGTATTACACTGTACCAATCCAAGTTCATATACGTGTCATTGCAAAAATGTTAATGACATCATTAGAAAATTTTGTAATTTTATAACTCATTTGAAACATACGCGTAACACGCTTCTTTGCATTTACTTTAACATTACATATGTGCATATGTTTATTTCAACTTATATGAGTTCTCATAAAAAAATAAAATTCGCAAAATTAAATTTTATAATTTTTCGAAAATACTAGAGATATGTTAATTTTTATTATTACTTTATTTCATTGTACTTCAGGATCAAGGGAAATTCTGTGGAAACAATTTTATAAAATAAGATACTCCTGCACTTATAGTGTGTGAACCCGTGACGAATTTTTACCCTAGACATCAAGAATTTTTGAAAAAAATTCAAAACTGAATAACAATATTTTGTAATATAACTTTAAAACTGCAAAACCGAATGCTCTGAAATCTTATAAATATTTTAAGAATATCGTAGTCATGATAAATTGTAAAGCAAAATTTTTTCGTTTCTCCACTCCCAAAAAATTGATGACGTCAGCTCAAAATTTTGCCGAGTAAATCCTACTCAAAATGTGCAAAATATGAAGAGTCTATACCTGTGATTTATCACTGCATTAAAAGTTTTTAAATTTCTTATACAGGGTGACTTAGAAAAATTAATGAAAGAGTGAAATTATTTTATTGATTAAATCAGGAACACTCACTCGGTTTTCCTGAAAAACTTGGGAGTACAATACTGTTATCATTAGTATTACGCTACACCTATCCAAAGTGATATATGTCTTGGCAAAAATGTTGATGACGTCATTACAGGGCGAGGGAAGTTCTGTCGAAATAACCTTCGACCAATTTTTTTTTCAAAATAGCTTTTTATCTGGTTGCCATTCGGCAGGAATACTCAAAAACATCTAAACTATACTTACCATTTGTGCCCTAAAGTGACAACTGCCCAAACATTGCCCAGGCACGTTCTATTGCGAAATTTTGGGCCTTATTAAGCAGAATGGTTTACGATAGTGGCTGGAAATCCGAAAATGGAGAACAACTCGGCAGGTGCATCTACCAAAAAACTCTAGAAATTGACCTAAATACCGTCCAGCACCTTAAGAGGCATGTCAAAACAAAACTTCATAGACAGTGGACCACTTGCTGCAATAAATAGTGTTTTAGTTTTGCAAAGGTTACAAAACCTGTTGGTAATTAAATCGTTTTGACTTGTTACCCCGATTTTTTTAACGAATGAAAAATCCCACAACTTAAATTTCAGGTCACCATTCTTAACTGAAAATTATGTCAAACACAAAACATCCTGAAATTAATTAAATGTTTTCAAAATTGACCTTCCACCAGAATGCTAATTTCCGTGTTTACAAAATACGAACTCGTGATGCTACTGATAAAGATGCAACAAAAATTATATGTTCATCGAACCATAGTGATTATCGTGACGTATGCTACGAAACCGGTCCCTCATGAGTCGATCAAAAACGAAAGAGAATTTGCTACACTAAACACCTCGAGGAAACTCGAAAGAAGAGCTTGCGCATTCTCGGCACATTTCACTCAAAAATAAACTGAACTTGGTCTAGCAAGAGTCATAAGTCAGTCTGTGTTCAGTTTTTGTCATGACATCGCCAATACTGAAGACGACAACGTTACTGTGTCTGGTAGAGTGACGACGAAAAATGTTTCAAACTAAGAACTGGGCATTGTACGGTTTAGTGATTGGGTTATCGTTGTTTCACGTCTATTGCAAACCCCGTGAATTATCTGGTAATTATAATTCTTATTCACTTTTTGAGTTAAGTCAATGTTAAATGTTCGTTTAAATAGGGATGGATATGGAGATTATTGCGGAAAAAATGCTTCAATCATTTTTTTTTTCTCAACAATAATCAAGTTAATGGATCATACTATCTAAAGAAAAAAGTTACAGACGTTACTGTTTAGGCATAATTTTAGCAACATGTATTCCCAGTTTTTTAAGTGGATTTTCCGAACAGACAAATTATTCGATTTCGAAACTAAAATTCCAGAAAATAACTGTACAAATTTACGATTAAAATAAATAATGTCTGTATGTCGGCTGAAGTGGGAAACACGTTGACTTTTTGCGGATTTTCTGGTCCATAATTTATTTTCCATGCATGTAATAATTTTTAATTTGACATGAAACGCCTATAGGTAATTTATTTAACATTTCTACACCGAAATAGGCATTTCCCACATTACAACACGTAAAAACCAGAGAACTGATTTTCGAGAATGGTGAAAGTTTTGTTTCAACATGTCCTTATGGTATTAGCAATTTAATTTTCGTTCCTGTATTATTATAATAAACATCTACTTGAAATACCTAAAATTCTCCAAAATAATGGAGAAAAATTAATAATTATTGTTTTCAGATTTTTTTTTGTCCTTATTTATCAACAGAATAAGAGTTACAGATACCCTCACTGAACTAAATATAAAACCAAAGTTTTTTTTGTGCCGTATGCGCTGTAGCCTCATCTTGTTGAAAATAAAATTAAACCAGTAAAAAAGATTCAGATTTAACACTACTTAAGAAATACTAGTTACGCAGAGTTATGCAGTCCACATATTAAACAGTGAAGAATCTATAGAAAAATTCAATAGAAATTATGGCAAATTTTGTGTTTTTTTTTTTTTTAACTGGACTGACCCTTTTTTGAGACGATTCCTGTTTTCTCAACACGGTAAGACAAAATTTGTTGGACACAAATATGACAATCAAAATATTATGTTAAGTTGACGGAGAAGTTAACTAAAGACCAGGTGATCCTAAATTTACTTGCTTCACAAGTAGTACCTAGTTCAAAACTAATTTTTATATCTCACTCTGTGTTATTCCAATGGACCGTTTCGTTTCAGCCAGTTCAAAATGCCATAATTCTGACTCTCCAGGAAAATGTATCCCTATCACAAACTGCGCCTCAGCGCTAGAAACAATAAAAAAACAACGTACCCATGGGTTGCAACGTTGCGGTTTCGAAGGAATTGTGGAAATAGTGTGCTGCCCCGATTCAGAAATGGGACTCGGTCACAACGATGACGACCAAAAAAAAACTTCAATTAGGGGCGGCAATTTAAAAAGAAAGAGTCAACAGGCGTGCGAAAAATATGTAAAAGAGACACCAATAGATCTAGCCTACTACATCGTGGATGGAGAAAATGCGCAACTAGGAGAATTTCCTCACATGGTCGCGCTTGGTTTCTTAGGCAAAGACGACAAAGTGTATAGATTTAGCTGCGGGGGTACTTTAATTTCCCCTCAGTACATATTAACCGCAGCGCACTGTCTTATCAATGTTCATGGCAACGAGCTGAAGATAGCAAGACTGGGTGTGATCAATGTTCCAGAACTGGTAAAAAATCCTGATCCGAGGATAGATTACAACGTCGTCGATATTACCGTTCATAAGCAATATAAATGGCAAGAAAAGTTCAATGACATAGCTTTAGTCGAGCTTGAGAAAAAAGTTGCCTTTGGCGATAATATTCGACCAGCTTGTTTGTACACAAAGAATGATGACCCTAAAAAATTAGTGGTAACTGGATGGGGAGCTGTGGGTTTAGGTAAGTTTTAGACATTTGTCCACTTAATATTAATCAGAAACACTCACTCGTATGCGTTTTCCAGGAGCTGAGAGAAGTAGTATTCTCCAAAAGGCGAGTTTGCACCCTGTGCCCTTACAGGAATGTAACAGCACATATCACACTAGGACTCAAAAGCACATAATAAGAGATCAAATATGTGCTACTAGCAATAAAAGCGATACTTGCCAAGGAGACTCCGGAGGACCTTTACAAATACAAAGCATGGCTAGTATATCAACAGTCGTTGGAATCACATCATATGGTATTGGTTGTGGTAGCAACTACCCTGGAGTTTACACAAGAGTTAGTGGTTATTTAGACTGGATTGAGAAGATAGTTTGGCCAGGAGCCATATAGTACACTGCCACCTAATTATACAAAAATCAACGTGCCAGTATTTTTGATAACTTTTCTTGAAAATGCCATTATCTTTGAGATGTTAAGTGCGTGAATTTTAATAAAAAAAAGAATTATTTTTATATTTATTATATGATACAATTATGTATTTATATTTATTTAAGTATTTCACACTATTTAGTAATTATATATACATTGCCATCATGACATACATAAACATATATAAATTATTTTACGTCTACATTAATAATAATTATTAATTAAGCACAGAATTGTTATTAATAATAGTAATGTATTCTTAAAAATTAACTTTGAAGAAGAGCAAAAATTTGGTGTTCGAAACCTAGGAAAATAAACAAAATGGAATGTTTTTTTAGAAATTAATAATTTGAAAAATTAAATGTGGTTTTACCATCTTCAAGAAAAAAAAAGAGGAAGAAGCAAGGAGATGTGGAATATAATATACTCTAATAAAATACAATAAGTAATAAGTACATAAATCTCAAAAAACTGTGCGTGGTTGAGAAATGGGATGGTAATGGTGGTCCCCTTTTAACATGGTTAGAAACGTATCCTGACTAAATCAAACTCAATTCACCTTCGACCAGGTGTTCCTCAAGATTCCCCCCTCGCTCCAATCGTGTTTATTTTGTATATTAATGAGGTCGTAAATGTTATAAAGAATTGCGGTGATTTGAAATTATTTCGGAAAATTTCTAAAATAGATGTTAATAGAAACTCATTCAAGAGAATATCAATTCATTCATTATTGTTTAGTGTGCTTTAATTAAGTTTGAATTAAATATCCTTAAACGCAAGGTCTTAAAATTTAGCCATAAGATAATGACTAGTTATTTTTACTATTTTATTTACAATAACAACGTAAAAGAATTTAGTAATTTGGGTATCACTCTTGAATGGCAATAAACTTTTTCCACCGATATCAACACAATTCTCTCCAAGACCAATAAGCTTCTTGGTTTTATTTTGAGTCACGCACTCTGCTTAAAAATATTCACACCAGTACTGGTAGTACTAATATAATATTTATTTCTATTATTATGTGTTTTAAATTTAATATTTCTTATTCCAGACATTATATTAATATTTTAGCTTATTGCGGTTTATCGTTGTCAGATATATATGTTTGTTGTATATTTATTTGCAGACTGTTGTCATTCGTTGTTGACTGTTTCGCTTTTCTTTAAATATGTTATTTACATGTTCCAAAGCGTTGTGGTAGGACTTTCCACTTTTTGAGCATTGATTTAAATTCTACCCACTGTCGCTTATGTAAATTAACTTATTTGCAAAAAGATTTAGTTTTTGTGGTAATATCTGCCGCAACAGTTAAAAACTTGTTTAATTTGTAATTCTCACTACTTTGTAATTGGTTACCTTGCACAATAAACATTACTATTATTAAGCATGCACACATTTTATGTATATGGGTAATTTAACCTGAGATAACCACAACTTCCTGCTCAACTGGAATTGAAATATTCCTGAACTTAGATAAAACAAATAGTTTTCCCTTGACGATGCGCGATGACCATACATTGTTTTTAGTAGATATGTGCAAAATAGATAAGTCATGCAATATGCTTTTATTAACGCGATTCAGAATTCAGGTATTTATATTAAAATAACAAAAAAGCGCATTTAACATACACAAATTTTAAAGGTAATGTAACAGTTTTGAATAACTGCACAAGTACATAAACAGTCATCTAATTTCGGAACTAAAAATTTAAAGGGGCGAATATCAACCCTGCTCCAGATCAGACGTTTAATAATAATCCGGTCCGCTGCCATATCCACCCATTTAGGCACGGCATTGACTCCGATCCGTTAAAAATATATCTCACTTTAATTATAATTATTTATGCGAGAACATGTTCAACTTACTTTGGATTAGGAAGTGAAATCAAAATTATATTACTGATTTACAAAAAATTTGTATTCATGTAGCTACAAAATTTTACTGGAAATTATAATATGTATTACTGTTATTTTATACGAATGAATCAAACTTTAGACTCGAACCTAGAAATACGGTCTTTATAGTATTGCACATTTTTTTATATAAAATTCTCTGATTGCTTTATTACACGTCTACTTTCTATGATACTTAATAAGTTTCTTATATTATCTGCATGGATTTTAAATTTGTAACCTAAAAGGGAGAGCTTAAATTTACGCAAATTTTACAATCGTTGTTCAACATATTAGTTTAGATCGGAGCTAAGGCAAGGGATTAAGGCACTCCAGGTACCAGTGTTACGAAAGATGACGTTTAACCGGAACTGATAATCGCCATTTTAAAGATGTATAAAATACAAAAACTTGTTGGTCAATTCAGAGTTTCGTTTTTTATTCAAAAAATATAACATTTTTAAAACATTACCACAATATTCTAAATTGTTTTGTAAATAGAGTTACATACTCAATATAACCCAAAAAGAATCAAATGGAGACACACTCTAAAAGCTGTGGGAGAACTAAGCAAAGACATGGCATCAATATCGACAGAAGTGAAAAATATTAGAGACGAAATAAATGGAAAAGGATCAAACACTGAAAGAACTATTAAGTGAAAATCGTCGAAAAATAGAATGTTCGGAAACAAAATGAAACAAATTAGAAGAAATATATCTGGACGATCTAATTCAAGGACTACAAATTAAAATAGAGCTCACAGAGATTAATACCGTCTCCAGACTAGGAAAAAAAAACGGTCACAACAACTAGACTAATACTAATAATTTTTGTAACAACGAGAAAAGCACAAGAAGCATTAGTAAACCGAAAACACTTAAGAAACATAAATATGTATATACACAGCGGAAGATACAACACCCGAGTCAAATCAACTTAGAAAATGCTAAAGCTCATAGTTGAAGGACGACACACAGTAATAGAGGCTGCTAATTACGGGGCCAATTTCAAGTTGGATTTACAAGATCGCACAAGCTCATTGCTATGGAAAATGCGATGAGAGATGTTGCGATTCGCGAGTCTAATTCGCTATCGCAACTATTGTCATCGCATCTTCCATAGTAAAGGGGACTTCCGATATCGCAAATGCAACTTGAAATTGGCCCGTAATATTCGATGGACGTAAAATAAGGAAAGAGAAAACAATAGTTAAAACATAAAAAAAGACAAAGGTCAGAGGACGAAATATTCATAGATGTAACAAAAGAGATTACAAGTACTAACTTTCAACCCAAAAAAAAACAAATAATAAAGTTTTTGTAAACCAACAAATATCAAATAGAAAAACTGAAAAACCCAATCCAAAAAAAATTATTAACCCTTCGCCGAAATGATATACGGAGCTTTGTCCAAAAACCTAGAGCTTACTGTTTAAATTTTACCGAACAAAGCGGTCAAAATGCGCCACCCACAACTGGTACAACCAACACAGAAAATTCAGAAAATAAAAATGAAAACATGAAAAAACTATTAATAGCGGCAATTAAAATATCCACGAAGACATGGCTATAGAAAGGAATATGTTTGGACTCAAAATCTCCTCAATATGGGTAAAAACAAAAAACACGAAAATAAAGAAACAAAAGTGTCCTAACAACTATATATTTGAACAAAGACAGTTTCTGAAAAAAAAACACACATATTTTTGATCATTCAGTTCGGTTGGACTAAATGCAAATTTTTCATATTTCGGCAGAGAATGTTGTATTTTGCAAATTAATAAATTTTCTTATAACGCAAAAATTGACACCTCAATAAAAAATATGATATTTTTGCTGACGTTCAATATTGGGACACCCGAAAAAATTTGCTAAGTATACCAAGAAAATACAGTATTTCATGCTAGTGTTGGTTTTATTTAGAAAAAATAGTTAGCAGTGTGCTAGTTTTAGTAAAAGTTTTGAAAATAATAATTTCGCAGTAGGTACTGCAAGGGAAAATCGGTTAGGAAAAGTGCAAATTTATTCCAAGTAGCTTAGTCGTCGATGGGAAACGTCGTAAAATATTACGCATACAGAGGTATCATAGGAATAAAGATAAAATCCCCAGTAGGCCAGCACTTGTGAAGCTGCGTGATCAACGATAACTAATAAAGATTTATATAAGTGAACGACGGAGTACTTCAAGAGAAATTACTACTCGCTGGAATAGCGACAACCAACTAAATTTTTCAAGAGAATATTGTCTCGAATGGATACACAAATCAGACCTTGGTTTTTATATTGTAAATGTTAAATAAAGCTCTCTTTAATGGACTTTATTATTTATTTATATTAATTTAGGCCAAAGAAAAACCACAACTAACAACTGCCGACAACAAAATCGGTTAATATGGGCAAAATAAAAATTGGAGAAAAGTAATATTTAAGGCTGAGTCCAAATTTGATGTCTGGGTGAGGTAATAGTCACAGAAGAGTTATTAAAACAAAAAAGGAATTTTAATATGGATTATCTCAAACAAATGGTGAAGTTTGCAAACGGAAAAATCGTTTTTTCACTAACGGAATTTAAAGGCCAATTAACAAAAGTTCATTCAAGGAAAATTACAAATGCCAACAAATATCAAGAAACTTTGTAAAAAAAATGTTAACAACTACTAAAGCAGTCTATCCTGTTGGTATTTATATTTTTTAACAAGATGAAGCTTCAAGTTACACAACTACCACACTTATTGCAAAGAATAACACTTAATATAAATGTACTGTCCTAACCATCGAATCATCCATATCTTAATCTAGTGGAGAAGGTATGGTGTGAAATAAAAAAATATTTGGGAAATCATCCGTGACAAACGGTTGTCAATCTTCAAATAGAAATTTCGCGAGGTGGGATACGTTAATAACTCCTGTGTATTGCAGAAAATTAATCGAAAGTATGACGGCAAGAATTCCTGCAGTTATTAAGACAAGAAGTGATCTGAGAAGAACGAAAAAAAATTAAATACCGGCAAAAACGAGTAACTTTCCACTAAACTATTAAATACGCAAGGGGCAGAAATTACAAATAGAAAATATATACTCAACTTGGCAACAGGATTTTTCCGAAATATGTATATAAAAGAATGAGAAAAATAAAAGAAAAAACCGACACAAATAAAAACAAAACTTTCCTTGCTATGCAAATCGAAGCGCCTTCCTTTCTTAAAGAAGAAATGGAATAAGTATGCATAAAAAAGCTGAAAAAAGAGAGAAGTCCAAGGTAACAACATAACAAACAAGATGTCAATAGAATAAACCATCCCGCTATGTAACCTCTTTAACGACACCCTAAAAACAGAACAAATGCCTACACAGTGGTTAAAAATCATTTTAATACACAAAAAAGTAACTCCAACATGTTAGCCTAATCCCTGTACTATACAAGAAGAATGATAGTACGACTAAACGAAGAACAACCACCCAAGCAAACTTCAGACCATCGTACTCGACAATATATAAATAACGAGTACACGCTGTTAACCTACCAGTAGAAAGAAGTAACGAGTACAAGCTCCCCATATACACAACAAAACATAAAACGGTAGTAACACGTTGAAAAATAAATATGTCTATTTTAGAAAAATATATCCACATGCCAAATAAAGAAAGTTGCAAATCGAGGGCATACATTGAGCTGGACAACATTTAAAAATCCATACTGGAAAATGGGGTAAAACAGTGTGACATTGTCTCCCAAGCTCTTTTATACCATATTAGAACACCTCTTTAGAAATTTCAAATGTGGTACTTTTTGTAGAATCACAAGAACAACTAACAAGCAACTTGGACAAAGAGAGTAGAAAAATTAGACCGACTACTAACTTCTAAAAACCGAAAATATTAACAAAAAATGGAGGTGACGAAAGCAGTAATTTCTTTGGACAAACAATAAGCTTCAAGGATAAGACTGAAACAGGAATCACATCAATAAAAGAATAGTTTTGGTCTGGAAAATAGTCTGGTGCTTCACGTCTCGGGCTATAATCTACCTTTGGTCTATAATGAATGTCTTCAGTACCTTGGCATATAATATAGTACTAATGCAAAAGCAACACTTTTTGTGGTGAATCTGCAAGGTTGTCAAACGAACAAAGAGAGTCCGATATTGCAGATGAGCCAAAAAAGTGACTTTTCCTTCGAATAAAATATGCTATTTATTCTTCAAATGCCAGCAACTGCTCCAAATTTTCCCGAGAATTAAAATTTATCAAAAATCAAATCGGGCAAACCCCTATGCATCACCCTCGATTCAATGCCACTGATACACTTTTTAAATAGTGGGTGGAAAAACGTTCGAATAAAACCGATGTAAACACTTTCAATTTCAATTAAAAGTAAAACCAACATTTTGCTTAATACATTGCAATACAGGCTTCAGAACGTCGCAACATGTTTTGCATGGATACGTAAAAAAACTCCGGGAGTTCCACGAACTGTAGCTACTGCCACTTCCACTCGTTGTTCAAGCTCTTCGATAGTTTCTGGACACTGTTGATTTCCATAAACTAACTGTTTCATCCAACCCCACAGACAAAAATTACACGGATTGAGATCGGTTAAACGCGGAGGCCAAACTGCTGGGGCGTTTCTACCGACCCACTGATTAGGAAAATGTGGTGGTGTTCCATCATACAAGTACCACATATGAACTCGCACACCTAGAGGCACTTCCAGATCTAGCTACACTTCCAACACATTGTTTAAAAACTCGAGGTAGGTACTATGCCGCGTTTAGTCTGTTTGGTAAAACATTAAGTCCAACTAAGCGGTCACTTACGATAACGGCTCACACATTTATGGAAAACCGTCGTTGAAATCGTAGTAAGCCTGGGGATTTTCATCGGACCAAATGTAAGTGTTGTGGCTGTTGAAAACAGAATTGTGAGTGAATCCTGCTTCATCTGTAGGCAGAATGCAATTTAAAAAGTTAGGGCGTTCATAGCATTGCTCTAGCAACCATTCGAAGTAAATTACCCGACGTGGAAAATCAGCGGGCTCCAAAACTGCAACTTCAGCTGCAAGTCGACGAGTGCTAATCCGGGTTCTTCTTCGACGCGTCCCAAAAGTTGTTCTTCAGCTTGCAGTATTCTTTCGGTCCTATCGCGGTCATGATCGTGAGCTTAAAACGGTTGAAGTTACCATGATCTCGAAGATACTGTACCACTGATGTAAATGTTCGCGCACACGGATCGCGCGATTGGGAAAGCTCTCGATCCACAATTCGCCGGCCAACCTGCCATTTCCCTCAGCCACACCATAAAGCATTGCCATGTCGACGCGCTTTGAATTGGGAACTGATACATAAGTGGCCCTTTTTTGATTCTTAATCCTCGTCGTTTTGTGTAGGTCAAGAAACACCACCAGGGACGTGTATAACAATTTATATTTAATTTCAAATATTTTTTCCTACACATTGTTACCACTTCGGAACGTTAACTTTACGCATTGCAATGAATCCTATTGTGAGCTATTCCCCATCTTTTTATCGCACATATTTCGAAATCACTCTGTGTTTATGTTCAATGAACCGTATAGATTATCGTGGTGCATGCTACTGAACCGGTTCCTCATGACTCGATGAATAATGAAAGGGTATCTACACCAAACACTTCAAAGAAATTCAAAAGAAGAGCTTGCGCGTCGTCGACTTTCTTCAGTCAAATTAAACTCACATTAGCAGTCTAATAAATTAGTTTGTGTTAAGTTTTGGTCATACTCGTAACATCTCCAACACTAAAGACAATTACGTTATAGTGACCCAACAATCAAAAATGTTTCAAACGAAGAATTGGACAGTCTATGGTTTAGTGATTGGATTATCTTTGTTTCATGTTTATTGCAAACCTGATGAGTTATCTGGTAATTATAATTATTGTTCACTTCTTCAGTAAACTCAAAGTAAAAATTTTCTTTTTAACATGTTTTACACCAACTAATCGCAAAAAAAAACGTTAAAGTTTAAGTAAGTATATTTATAAATATTTACATGTTGAAAATCCACAATCCGGTTGTTGACAACGTGCTGTATTCCCAGAAATATCAATCAGGTTCAAAACGCATGATATTAAATAATACACCAAAATTCCCGGTATCGTAAGTACATACTGTAACAAAGCTTCATCACTTTCTAAAATAGTTTCTCGTTTAATAATCGTCATGAAAATCTCCATACGGGAAAAGCCTATTTCTGTGTAAAAATCTTAAATTAATTAGATACCTATACGTAGGTGTCCCATATCAACTTGAAAATTATTACATGCATAGAAAATAAATTATGTAACAAATAATCTACAAAAAACAATCATCACTATTTTAGTCATAAATGTGTGCACAGGTATTAAGATACTTTAAAATTCAAAATTTAGCAAATTTTAAACAAGTACTTAAATCCTCATACTTGATATTAATTTTTAATTAATTCCTTTTGTCGAGGCCACATATTTTTAGACAGTTTGATTATAATTACAACTCCAATATATTCTGTCCCCAAAAAAATCCATTGCTCCTAATCATCATCTAATTTTTATTCCTCATTCTATGTGCATTGCTTTTTGTTCCTAATTGTTTCAATACAGCGTTTTGTTTTAGATGGTGATCCGAACAGAAAAAGTCAAAAGGTGTGTGTCAAATATTCAAAAAATTTGCCACCAGTTCTATTCTTCAGCCTTCTGGGTGATGAACGTGCGCAGATAGGAGAATTTCCTCACATGGCCGCACTTGGTTTCTTCAGCAATGAAGACAAAGTGTATAGATTTGACTGTGGGGGTACTTTGATTTCTCCTTATTATATAGTAACCGCAGCCCACTGTATTATAAATATTCAGCACAACGAGCTGAAGATAGTGAGACTGGGTGTGATCAATGTTCCAGAAAAAGTGGACAATCCTGACCCAAAATTAGATTACAATGTCATCAACATTACCATTCATAAGAAATATAACGCGAGAGAAAAGTTGAATGATATAGCTTTAGTTAAGCTTGAGAAAAAGATTGTGTTCAACGAAAATATTCGGCCAGCTTGTTTATACACAAAGAATGATGACCCTAAAGGATTAGTGGTAACTGGATGGGAACCTGAGAGTTTAGGTAAGTTGTTAGACATTAACCTTGTTAATAATTCCTCGTATACGTATTGCAGCAGAAGAGAGAAATAGTACTCTCCAAAAGGCAGTTTTGAACTCGGTGCCCTTGCAGGAATGTAACAGGACGTATTACACTCGTTTTCACAGAGACATAAGAGAAAATCAGATATGTGCTGTTAGCAGTGTCAACGATGATGTTTGCCAAGGAGGCGGTGACGGACCTTTGCATATACAAAGCAGCACGACTAATCTATATACAGTCGTTGGAATCACATCATATGGTGTTGGCTGTGGTACCAAATATCCTGGAATTTACACAAGAATTAGTAGTTATTTAGACTGGATTGAAGAGATAGTTTGGCCAGGACCCATATAATAAATTGCCATCTTAATACACACAAGTCGACGTACCAGTAACGTAATTTTAATAAAAAAAAACTTGGTGCCAGGTTATTACATAAAATTTCCCTGGTCCCTGAAGTACAATTAAACAAACCCAGTGTAAAAAATATATAGATAATACCAGTTATAGTGTAAGAAAAAAAATATGAACCATGAGAAACCCGCGACCTTCGCGTTATTAGCACGCACGCTAAGCAGCTGAGTTACTTACTATTAAACATTCCTATACAATTTTGATTTTTTTTTTTACGAAAATCGGCGGATTCAAAAACCACAAATACAATGTTATTTTAAAAATTTAATTGCATTTACCATGCAAAATTTTGAGGTGGCATCATCAAATTGTTGACGTTAAAATGCATATAAAATTTGGCGACAATAGAAGATTTTTTGCTTAATAAAAATGGTCGCAAATGACAAACGATATATATTTAGAATGGCTGAAACGAGCGCGGTTTATGTTTTGTTACTCTAGAGATCATGAAACGTTGAGAAAATATGAAAGTAGACATTCACCGATGGACCCTAATACCGTACTCTACCTACCAAAATTAACTAAGGTCCTATTCTTTTTTAAAGTGAAATTAGAGTGTAACGGACAAGAGTTTATCAAAATGCAATTACAGTATACAAAAGTCAAAATGTATTTTATACACTGTCATTTAATTTTCACGACATCACTCACTGGTTGGGAATTTCTATGTCCGTCACTAAAACACAAAACATCCTGAAAAAATTGTCCGAATTACAAGTGCTTTCCCGGTATAATCTGCCGCCAAAGAACTCACTTCCGAATTTACAAAATACAAATTCGTGTGACGCCAGTGATAAAGATACAGCTGAAAATGGATGCTCAACGAACGAAACGGGGTTTTCTCCACCAGACAGTTCAAAGAAATTAGAAAGAAGAGCTTGCGCGGCATGGACGCATTTCAGTCAACATAAAAGTCAGACCAGTTGTTTAAAAAACCAGTCTATGTTCAGTTTTTGCCAAGAGATCACCAGTACTGAAGACGATCACGATCATCTATTAGTGTAACAACAAAAATGTTTCGAATTAAGAACTGGGCATTCTACGGTTTAGTGATTGGATTTTCCTTGTTTCACGTCGATTGCCAATCTAGTGAATTATATGGTAATTATAATTGTTATTCACTTTTGATCGATTAGAAATCTGCGAAATCAGACGGTTAAGAATTTTTTATAAAGTCGAAAATAATTTTGTTCCTGCCTGTGTGTTACCTGAAAAGGTCATCACAAAATGTTTTTTGTTAACATTATTGCTGTATCTTTTCCTCCTCCATGAGGTACTATTTTTTAATAAATTAAATGATATATTACATTAGTAATTAGACTTACTGTCTCAAAAATATACACAACTTAACACTACGTCACAGATTTAGAATAAGTATTTTCTTAATACTTTTCTCAAATCAAAACGTAATAAATATCGCGTACTTTTTAGAGAAGATTTATCCAATAACTTCTTGACAAAGCATTATTTCCAGGGAAGCTGAATCTGTAAAGTGTAGTCTGTAATTCCTAAATCAGTGTTAATGTTTTGGCAAAATTTCAAAACAAATCTGTCACGTAATGTCTAAGATTAAGTACTTATAAAATAAATCTGATTTTAATTTTGTTTCACGAATGCTTATATATATGAAAAAATAATTTACAACTTATTAAATACGCGTAAAAGCACTCATCATAATATATATTCATATGGAATAGATTTCGAAATTAGTTATTAAATTCGGAGATTACTAGATAAAATATTTCAAAGCGTATAACCCAATATCAGTACTTCCCTTAACATTTTTACTCAAGAAATAAAAATTATGTATAACTATGTAGATACCTAAAGATTTATACTAAATTATTCTTTTATAATATACGTGAATACTCTGAATACATAAAGTTTTTAATATCATTCAACTAAAAAATATAATTATTTCAAAACTATTTTATGTATAAAATGACAAAAAATTATAAATATTTGAGAAATTAATGACAAGTTCGCTGCAACGCTTCTCCTTTCAAGAGAAGTTAAAGCAAATTTTGATTCTATTCGTGAGGTGTTGATAACTTGCTGTAGGTATCTCAGTTTTTCAATGAATTTTAGTGTTCAATAGAATTATTCTATTTAAGGTAGAATATCTCCTTGTTTCAAAGCTAACGACTGTATGCATGAAACCTACTTACTTAAGTTTAATGGTTTCATAAAAAAATGTTAAAATAATTTTTTGTGTTGAAGAGAAGAAAAGTTGAATCAAGTATTGCTCAATTTGTTTCTATACTTAACTGCGTTACGCATTTTGAACTGGTAATTTCTTGATTAATCACTTCAAACTTCCGTGTTTTACTATCAAACATTGATTTATTAGATCATCATCATAACATAAAGTTATCAGTTGTAACACAGATTACAATGTTATCGTACATAGTATACTTGGGTTTTTCAAATTATTATTTTATAGTATATTTTATTTTTCCAACATTAATCATTTATTTACTATCCATATATGTATATTTATTTAAATAAAAAAATGAATAAATTATCGAAAATGTTTCAAAATATTACTTCGATGACTTAATGGCTTACCTTAGATCATATAATAAATAGATACCAATACTCAAACTGAAAGCTGTGACTAGACATGAAGTTCTCGTTTTCTACGTCAAGGGGACTAGTATAATGCTATCCTTGTGTGATCACCACATCTTCATCTTTGTTATATGCATTTCATCTGTATATATCTATTTCACTTCCATCCTTGTACCGCACCAGGGCAACAAATCGCTTCTGACAGATGTTTCTTCTAACCTCTCTTTCGAGTTGTTGTACAAAAAACAATTTTAGAATTTAGAACAAAGATCCTATTTTAAGTGATGTACTCATAAAGGATCACAATTGCTGCCCAATAATTTACTATTCCTTTCGTTATCTACTGTGAATTATTTATAAAATCAAGCTGTCAACATCTTTCTTCCGAAGTTAGTTGAGACATACTTCCTAAAATTTAGGCGCGCAAAATTCAAATAGTGATCAGGCAAGGATAGCTTCATTGTAATCCCTCCATGCACGAGAGAGATGTGTGATAGGAGGATGTCGTCACAGGCTGTCCTAAGGAAAGAACACGGCATGGTGGTATCTATTTATTATATGATCTAAGTGGCTTACCCTACAAGGCACTTTTAGTAGTTTTTTATAAGTATCAAAGTGTCTGAGGTAAATTTTCTATACTAGGATCTGAATATATGAAGTAAATGTTTTTGTAACTCCTAAGACTACCACCTGTTTCTGCCACACAGTTTTTTCTTGTTTTTTTCGTATGTTTCCAATTTTAGTTTCTTGCACATGTATTTTATGCTAACTACACAAACATTAAACAAAACCAATATATATACAAGAAACAATAGTCAAATTTCTGTTTGTACCTAAATGATTTCGCTCTGCCAATGCATAATAAACTATTAATATTCAATAATAAATAGTTTAATAAAGTTAAATTTTACAACATTCTAGAACCCTGTTACGTTAGAATTATAATTATCTGCTCCACTATGTAAGGTATTACCCATATTAAACCGAGCAACCGCGATTTACTGACCACAAAAGTAGCAGCGGCAATAGTTTTGGTTAAAAAGTTGGCAGCCACCGCTGATTGCAAATTATCACAAATCAAGGTTAAGGGTACTGGTGAAATACCTGCGACTCAGTGGTACCAACTTTCTCGACTTGAAATAGTGGACTTCAAGAAAATATGGAAGAGTGTATCACGGTCGAAGGAAGGAAATTATACTGACAATTAAAATATTATTTAAATTCTAAGTGTCTTCCCTCATAGTTTGATATATTATATGGTAAATCACTCTCGTAGCGGAAGATTTATATTGTGGCAGTCAAAAAATTCAAAAGACGTTATAACGAAAGCGGAACCTCTTGTCGAGTCTGTTACTCTCCCTCAATTATTTTACTCTATTTGCAGGTGTAACACACACACCACATCTATATCTATGTCCAAAAAACCTGCGACATATTATATTCTATACCCGGTCTTCGCAAAACAACTAACCATGGGACCAAGCTGCGCGTTTCACGCGACTTTTATAATTAAAAATCTATATTTCTTGAATAATTTATAACGATAAAAATGGATCATTGTGGATAGTGTAAAAACTTAAAAAAATCCTTCTTTTAGATGACACACTGACCCTCCAAAAATCTACCTGGTCCACATACCAACCCCTGTACTTACGAAACTGAGGGTTGCATTCCTGTACAAATGCATGGTTCCCTACATTATTGGCTGATTTTCTAATTTTTCTCAGGGCGAAATTTAAATTTCAAATTCAGGACACGTCTATCTGTAGTGTATAATATTTAAATGCTTTAACACAACTGATCTATGAAAACTACGTACTTATATAATATATAACTTAATCGTAGCAATAGATTCGACCGGAAATGAAAGCAACTTTTGTGTTTAAAACTGTACTGTTCCTTTTTTTTGCCGATTAATGTTTTCTCAACACTGTAACACAAACTTTACAGAACACAAGTGTTCATAGCACATTAAAAATATAATCACAACCTTTCAAAATTCTCGATTTTATAATTAGAATTAGTAGCTGCTTCAACATCAACAATCTAGGTAGTTTTTGTGGTTTTATTTCATCTAACTTACACTACGCAAGCATCGTGTGGACTCCGTCATCCCAAATTTATATTGATGTTCTTGAAAAAATCTAAAATGAAGTCTCCTAAATCTTCTTTTCATTTCCCACATAAATAGTAACACAACATATTCATATTAAAAAATTCTCACCCTTGCCAGTTGAAAACAATTTTCTATCCCACGCTCTCTTTATTGCCCCTGGTTATTTCAATACACTGTTTTATTTCAGGCAGTTCCAATTGCCATAATTCCAACGCTCCAGGAAAATGTATCCCTATTACGAAATGTACTTCAGCATGGGAGGCAGTAAAAAAACAACGTTCCCATGGGTTGAAACGTTGCGGCTTTCAAGGAATTGTGGAAATAGTGTGCTGTCCAGATTCAGAGACAGATAAACCACCTAACGACGACGACGACAATGAAAAACCAACTTCATTTAGAGGCGGCGATGTAACCAGAAAGAGTCAAAAGGCGTGCGACAAGTATTCCAGAACTTTACCAATAGTTCTATTCTACCACATTGTGGGTGGAGAAAATGCACAACTACGAGAATTTCCTCACATGGCCGCACTTGGTTTCTTCATCAAAGAAGAAAATATGTATAGATTTGACTGTGGGGGTACTTTAATTTCCCCTTATTATATAGTAACCGCAGCGCACTGTCTTGTAAATGTTCAGGGCAACGAGCTGAAGATAGCTAGACTGGGTGTGATCAATGTTCCGGGAATGGTGGAAAAGCCTGATCCGAAAATAGATTATAACGTAATCGACGTTAAAATACATAAACAGTATAATGGCCGAAAAAGGTTCAACGATATAGCTTTAGTCAAGCTTGAGAAAGCAGTTACATTTACCGATACTATTCGGCCAGCTTGCTTGTACACTAAGAATGATAACCCTGATAAAATAATGGTAACTGGATGGGGAGCTGTGGGCTTAGGTAAGTGTCAGACTTTCACACACTCAGAAATACTCACTTGTTTTACAGGAAAAGAGAGAAGTAATATTCTCCAAAAGGCTACTTTGAACCCTGTGTCTTTGCAAGAATGTAGCCTCATATATCAGAAAAAAGTTCAAAAACATATAACGAAAAATCACATATGTGCTGCCAGCACTATGAGCGATGCGTGCCAGGGGGACTCAGGAGGACCTTTGCAGACACAAAGCAAGGCTAATATATTAACAATCGTTGGAATCATCTCATACGGTATTACCTGTGGTAGTCGATATCCCGGAGTTTACACAAGAATTAGTCGTTATTTAGACTGGATTGAAGAGGTAGTTTGGCCAGGAGCAGTGTAGTAAATTGCCGTCTCAGTACCAGTATTTTTGGTAACTTTTTCTTACAAATGTCACTATTTTTACCTCAAACTTAATTTATTTTAACATTTCAAATATATACGTGTAATGGGTATATCTTATGTGATACAATTTACAATATACATATATAAACAAATATATATTATGTTCAATGGTTTTTCTTTAAAATGCCGTTTTTCTTACCTCCCTTTAGTAGTCTTAAATATTTCCTTATATTCTTCTCCATATTACGTGATAAGTGCTATTAATGGTAGCAATGTATTTTTAACATTGTTACTGGAAAAAAAGAAAACTAGTGTTCAAAATGTCTGAAAAGAAAAAAATAAATAATCGTCATGTACCCTAAACACTGAGCAATCTACATGTTATATTAAAAATTTGGAATGACAAATTTGTTTGTCAACACCTTAAAGAAAAATAACAATAATAATAAATCGAGTTCTTTTATAATAATTTTTTCTGGAATTGCAACTGATGTTAAACGTTAAATTAATGTGTTATTTTTTACATCAGAATTATTAACTCACAGCTTGAATTTGAGCAATATATTCTCGAATTCTTATTTTGATTTTGAACATATTTAATTAGTATGTGCCTTGTTATGTTTGTTGCATATGTGTTTTATTTTATGTGATGTAAAAATTCTCTGGATCCATCATGTAACTCATTTAATACATAAATTCTTTTTGTTTGAAATTCTTAATACAGAGGGGCACAACAAAAAACTATTTGCTTTGCACTTTCAATAATTCAATAATAATTATCGTCAGGACTTCTAGAGTGCAAATTTCAAATTAATGCGGTCACCTGTGTAAAGGGATGTCGACAGTTTTCTGATCTATTGTCAATTCAGTAAATTTCAGACCTTGTAACAATGTTTCCGAGGAATGAGCACGTCGCTGATCTAACAGTCCGCGAGGCCAACACGACGTAACACTGACAACTGAGGAGAGCTCGATCACTTTGATCGGAGCGACCGTTCCTTAACCGTGATCTATCATTTGGACTCCCGATATAAACTTTGGTTTTGTTCATATTTAAAATTGTCACCACACCATCGTAATAACTTAAATATAAGTGTTTATACTGCATTTGTGTTTTTTTTTTAAGTGTAATTCAATTTTGGAATACAGTTAAACTGTTGTGCAATCGTGTAGCTCTGTAAATTTCATGATGGTGCTGATCTGTGTCCTTTTGATGTTTCTGAATAAGTTAAATCAAGGTGTAAGCAAAGTTTATTCTTATCATATCAGTGAGTTTTTTTTTGTTCTTTTTGATGCTCTTCTTTTTCTTTCGACTAACAAGTGTCATTCACCTCTTGTTCATTTTCCTGTATCCTGTCCGAGGCCTACCCTGTTTGTTTTTACTGCAGTCACCAATAAAGGGAGCTATTGGTGTGAAAAGTTGTATCCTCGTTTTAATTCCCTTTCATTAAAATATCAATAATGACGTTTTATTGTTTGATCTACCAATCTGCTATTACACCTTCCACACCATCGATCAAATGTTCAAATTGCAAGAAACATGTTCATATTAGGTGTTCCACCGTGGCCGTCCCAAATATATCTACCAACATTCAGTGGGTATGTCAAAAGTGTTCTTCAATTGCTCCGATTGCTGATACTCTAATAACTCTTGCGGCAATCGAAAAGCTGTTCGAAAATCAATTCAGCAAACTAAAAGAGGGACTTGAAATTAGAATTTCCGCACATAATTGAAGAAAAATGATTGCAAATTAATAACAGAATTTCTGATGTTGACGATAATGTCCGAAAAATACAATCTGAAATTATTCAACTAAAGACTTCCTCTACCAACAAGGCTGAATCTTAAGATATTAATGATGTAGTGTTGGACATTTGCGACCGAAATGACCGTAGTAAGAATGTTCTCTTATACAATGTCCCTGAGTCACTGGCTAAATCTGCAGACGAACGCGTAATTGACGATTTAACTCATGTTTCATCCATTTTGGAACCTTTAGGGGCATTCCAACAGCCAAAGAAATTGGTAGTTTTATATCCCGCAGTTTTGAACTCACTTCTGGTGTACGTCAGGGATCACACTGTGGTCCAATATTGTTTTTGCTGTTTGTCAATGATCTACAATTTTGTTTCAAGTATTCTAATTTTCTACTTTACTCCGATGACTTGAAAATTTTTAAACTCATTAAATCTCTTCAGGATGCGTTGGAATTACAATCTGATTCAAATAGATTATATGACTTGTATGATCGGAATCAATTGTTTTTAAATACAGATAAGTGTTATGTTATAACATTCTGTGACGTGAAAAATTTATACCAACATATTTATAAAATAAATGACAGTGTCTTGAAGGTAGTAAATGAAATAAAAGATCTCGGTGTGGTGTTTGATTCAAAATTGTCTTTTAAATCTCATTATGATTAAATTTTCAAAAAGTCAATGAGCATGTTGGGGTTTGTATGGCGTCACGGTCACATGGTATCAACATTCTCCTTAAAGACACTTTACTGTTCCCTCGTGCGTTCGCATTTGGAATATTGTTCACCAACATGGTTTCCGTTTTATAAATCGGATAATGATTATTTGGAAAGAATTCAAAAGAAATTTCTTAGATGTTTGGAGTTCTGAATGCATTGGCCTCACCATAAAGGCCACTACGAGTTCATCACCAATTTCATAAACCTGCCTTCTTTGCATACAAGGAGGATACTGTTGGATGATTGCCTTGTACATGGTTCCATTAATGCCCATATTGATTGCCCTGAAATATTATCACAATTGGATTTCTACGTTCCTGATCCTTCGGCTTGTAATACACGCAGTGTAAAAATTTTGAGAGTGCATCCTTCGTTAAAAACTAATTTTGCTTTTAATAATCCAATTAATAGATTAATGGAACTTGGAAACAAATTTGCATCCATAGAAAAGTTTGAGCTTTTCCAGAATTCAAAACATGTATTCAGACGTGAATTCCTTTACATTCTCAACAATAATTGACGTTAATTTTGCTAATGAGTTATGTCAAAGTCAGTGTGTTAGGTTAGATATAGGTTAGATATAAGTACATATATGTTCCATTCTTTTGTACATTTAATTAATTTATTTTTGTAAATTGGAGTAATCCGTAACATGATTAATAAATAATAAATAAATAAATAAATAAATAAATAATAGTTATTTACGTGGCAAGCTTAGTAAATTAGCCTTTACGGGCGAGCCGGAATGTTTGCAGGGCGAGCGACGTAGGAGCGAGCTCTGTAATCCGGTGAGCCCCAGTAAAGGCTAGTTGCAAGCGAGCCGCGTACAACGTTTTACTTCCTCTTGCTGAAAATCCTGAAAATGAACAACTTTGGCATCTCTAGAAATTTTACTTGAAATTACAGTCATAGAAATTATAGTCATTTTTCATAGTTTGCTCCGGTAACTATGGAAAATTGAATTGTTTGAAAATAACGGGACTGTCAATTTTGTAAATTCGATTAATAATTTAAATAGTTTAATTTTGTTTCTGAGCTCTGTTAATTCTGGAATTCGATGAAGATGAAGAGTTTGAAGGTGATTTTAACGTTAGTATTAGCACAGTATTAGTGAGATTAAGAAAAAGGCCGACGCAGCGAATGTGTGTTTGATTCCGGTGCTGTCATGACAACGTTTTACAGGTACGGTGCCTGTAAAGCTGCCACGGTAACGCTTTACAGGCAGGGTGCGTGTAAAGGCTAATTTACCGAGTTAGTTCAGACGACAGTAAACGAGCTTTAACAAGACAAGAGGAAGTAAATGAATATTACCATCCATTTACTTTCATTCAAATTTCTCTTTTTTCTTTGTATGTTTAAATTTCTGATACCTATTCGTATATATATTCTTAGATTTTCTTTCTCCAGAATGGAGGAATTGTAATCAAGTAATGAGAAATGGAACGGTTAGTCAGTTTTCCTCGTACATTACTATAAAATGTTCTTAGACCATTCATAAACCGCTAGTAGGTACAGTATGTTATTTTAGAAAATTCAATAGCATTTACCATCCAAATTTTTTATGTGACGTCATCAAGTTGTTGTTGAGGATGATTAACAAATTTTGATTAGTATTTTAGCATCTACACGATATTCATAAACTGCACAGAAAATTTCGCGACGATAGATGTTCTGCTTAATAAAAATCGACGCAGATGACAGAAGAGTCTGACCAGCTGAAACGACTGGCCTATGTTTTCACGCTCTAAAGATCATCAAACGTCGAGAAAATATGAAAGTAGCCATTCCCCAGATGGACTCTATTATGGTACTTCCTCAGCTTACGCTCGACAAGTAACAAACTGAAGACACACTCACAGAACAGATTTTCCCTAGTGTTAAGCCTAGCCGTGACAAACGAACAACTAATAAGTAATATATATAGTAAGTATGTGAATTAAACAAAGCAAGTAGGTGGACGTTTCTACGTATTCTTTTCGGTACATATATATATAGATAAACTTAGCAAGTCTGGAGAAATGGTTAAGGAACATACAATTTTTAAAAAGAATATTTAATTAAACATTTCTCTTTTTAGATTAAATTGAAGTAGACTTAAGTAACTTAGTGTAAAACAGTATATAGTGAAAATTACCTAAAACTACAAAACTTAGTTAGTTTTATATTTTTTGAAATTCTTTGTAAAATTTACAAAACCGACGGTGGTCCCTCGTAAGTTCTTCTGGAAAATTGCGATTGCCCCCTTTGAGGTTGTTCTTAAGTGCGCCATCAAGACTTCCGCCAAACCGCTTCCAGGCTTTTCTTTATTCGAACGCCGCCGTCACCGCAGAAAATCCACAGGCGTCGCACCGGGGCGGCATGTAAGTTTAATTCCTAACAATATTTTATACATTCTCATTTAAATTTCAGGATATCACTCTTGGTTGGGAATTTCTATGTCCGCCACAAAAATACAAAACATCATGAAAAAATTATTCGAATTATAAATGTTTTCCTAGTACGACCTCCCGCCAAAGCACCCACTTCCGAATTTCCGAAATACGAAATTCGTGTGGCGCCACTGATAAAGATGCAACAGAAACTGGATGTTCAACGAATTAAACCGGATTTTCTATACCAAACACTTCAAAGAAATTGGAAAAAAGAGCTTGCGCGTCATGGAAGCATTTCAATCTACATAAAACTCACACCAGTTGTCTAATAAGTCAGTCTGTGTTCACTTCTTGTCAATGTATCATCAACACCAGGACGATTTCGTGACAGTGACCTTTAGTAGTGGAACAACAAAAAATGTTTCAGACTAATAACTGGGTATTCCACGGTTTAGTAATTGGATTTTCCTTGTTTCATGTCTACTGCCAACCCAGTGAATTATATGGTAATTATAATTATTATTTGGTTTTGATCGATTGGTAATCTCAAATCTGTGACAGTCTTTCCAAAAAAAAAAAAATAATTATTTATACGTTTGAAAAGACTGTCACAGATAAACAATAATAAATTTATTATGTTTATCTGTTACCTCAAATTGTCATTGCAAAATGTAATGTAATTTATTGCATTACTAATTTAATTAGTAATTACTTACTGTCTTACAGATATTCACAACTTAACACTACGCCACAGAATATTTTCTCAAATTATCTTAATGCTTTTCTCAAATCAAAGCATAATAAATATCGCGTACTTTTTACAAAAAAAATTATCCAAAGCATCATTTTCGGGGAGGCTAAATCTATAGACATTAGTCTGTAATCTCTTCAAAAAACCTGTCACGTAGTGTCTGAGAAAAGTTGGTCGAAGGTTATTTCGACAGAACTTCCCGCGCTCCAGAAGAGTAAATAACACCTCCAGACAATCCCTGCGCCTCGAGGATGTAAATTCCAAGGGGGCACGATCTGAACAAATGCGGACAATATGAAATATATTTAAAGAACAACGTATTCTTAATTCCAAGTACTTGTTTAACTTTAACTGTTTTGTTTACATTTACGCTTCGAAAAATTCGACCATTAGGACGTCATATCGTATCAGCGCTGGCATTGGGTTTTGCAGTTCCTGATTAAATCAATAAAATAAATTCACGAATTGATTTTTTTTTGAGTCACTCTGTATATGCAAATCCAAAAAATATGAATGGGATGATAAATCACAAGTACAGACTTATCATATTTTCTACATTTTAGATAGGATTTATGCGGCAAATTTTTGAGCTGACGTCAACAATTTTTTGGAGGGGATAAGTAAATATATTATGATTAAAAATTTACCATGGTTATTATAATCTGTAATCTCAGGAAATACCACTCGCTGCTACGCAACTCGTGGTATTTCCATCGCAACACAAATTTCGTTTCGCTAATAAATCTTCTGAATTATCACAAGTATTCATCCTACTCAGTGTTGGGCAGTATCTAGATACTTGTATCTAAATAAAGTATGTAGATACATTTTTGGGTATCTAGTATCTGTATCTAGATAAAATCGAATTTAAGCACAAAATATCTGTATCTAGATACAAAATTAATGGCGCAGATACAGATACATTTTTTTATTTCACTTTTTTTTCAGTAGTTATTAGTTGAGTTATACTAGTAGTAATTTTTGATACTTCATGTTGGTGATTTTGGTCACATAAACAAAAATAGAGGTAAGAGGTCCACTAATAGTGTTCTGTCACGGAAATTTTCATATTTTAAATACCATCATTTCCTACATTGTAGCCTTCAGTACTTACACATCTTTAAATATAATCCTGAGGGGTAATAAATCTAAGCCATGGTAAGATGATATTTTAAAAACCATTAACCACAATTCACTATTCACTGCATTTTACGCTTATCGGGGCAATGCATTTTGTCTGTGTACCTGAGCAACCCGGGTCCGGTAGACCCGCTGGTTGTATTTGTGTTATTAAATAAGAGTAAGTTTAATAGTAAAAATATTTGTTTAAGATATGTTATTATTTTTAGAAAATAATAATTGCGTGTTACATAATGATTAATTTTTTCAATTAGCACAAATTAGTTCTGTAATCGACTAATCGAATGTTCAGTATATACATTTCTCTCGCATAAATCGCATATTTGTTACTGTTTTATACCTTTATTTTTCAGACAAATATAGCATCTTTTCCTGTTGCCACATGTGTCATTTCTTCACTTTTTCATTGTTAAATCTAACGCGAGGCGGGCTTGGTAGGTTCGTTTTGCCCTAGAATGTGCCGATTATGTTTAAGTGTAAATCGCGGGCAATAAAATTAATATTTTTACAACCCTAGAATAATTTATCGTGATATATTCTCAGAAATCGTGAAACGAGATTAAAATAAAATGAGTTTCAACAAAAATCTGAAAATTTAAAGTTGCACTCTCGTGATTCCGACCTGTCAGGCAGCCTTTGATCCTATAAGGGGTTTAAATACCTTTCTAAGAAATTGTACTTATTTTGCCTTAAACGGGACCAGCAATTCTTCCTAAAATGTATATACCTGCCGCACCGGGATAGACCATTACCGGACATGGTCATAAAAACATCATAAGCCGATATTGAAGAATAATAATTTATGAGAGGTTGCCGACAACAGACTTTCAGCACAGAATAATCATTTCCCGTATTCTTTTGAAATATTAATTTTAATGCTGGAAATAATTATTAGATATACTCAAACACAATTTGGACACTGTAGTTTATGAATAAAAACAAAAAAAAATATTCTTTTTAAGCGTACGTAATAAATATTGCACAATTTGCAACACATCAAACAGCGAAGCGATGGCCTATTTCCAGGAAAAAAGAAAAGATTTTTCAGTCTTGAATAACTATGCTACAGTAAAATGTTTATTTTTTAAATTTAATACCACAATCCCTTCTTCTGCACCTGTGGAACGGGTGTTTAGTAGCGGAAACCAAATTCTGACACCAAGAAGAAATAATTTAGGTGACAATACGTTCGAAATGTTTTAAAAAATTCATTAAACAATACATAAAAAAATACATAAACATGTTTTCAGTTATTTTATTCGCCAAACCTTCAAAAAGTATCTGTTTTCTTGTATCTGTATCTAGATACATTTCGAAAAAATCGAAAACAATCTGTATCTAGATACTTTTAAAAGTATCTGTCCTCAATACTGATCCTACTCATTGTATTGATAATAATGTTCCCTTCATTACAAAATTGTAAAAATGCTGCTATTCAGCCCATAGTGATTCAAAATTTATTTCCTGGACAAATACCAGTTTAAAAAAACAATTTTTATCCCTCACATTGTTTATTGCTCCTTGTTATTTCAATACATATACCGTTTTGTTTCAGGGAGTTCAAAATGTCATAATTCCAACGCTCCAGGGAAATGTATCCCTATCACAAAATGCACTTCAGCACTGGAAGAGGTAAAAAACTACCGTCCCCATGGGTTGAAACGTTGCGGTTTCCAAGAATTTGTGGAAATAGTGTGCTGTCCCGATTCAGACGACACAGAAAAATCAACTTCAATTAGAGGCGGCGATGTAGCTAGAAAGAGTCAAAAGGTGTGCGACAAATATTCAAAAGATTTACCATTAGTTCTAATCTACCACATCCTGAATGGAGAAAATACACAACCAGGAGAATTCCCTCATATGGCTGCACTTGGTTTCTTCAATAAAAAAGTCAATATGTATAGATTCGACTGTGGGGGTACTTTAATTTCCCCTTATCATATAGTAACCGCAGCGCACTGTCTTGTAAATGTTCAGGGCAACGAGCTGAAGATAGCGCGACTGGGTGTAATCAATGTTCCAGAAATGGTGAAAAATCCTGATCCGAAAATAGATTATAACGTCGTTGACGTTATAATTCATAAACACTATGATGGCCGAAGAAAGCTCAACGACATAGCTTTAGTCAAGCTTGAGAAACAAGTTAGATTTACTGATACTATTCGGCCAGCTTGTTTGTACACAAAGAATGATAACCCTGAAAACTTAAAGGTTACTGGATGGGGAGTTGTAAGCTTCGGTAAGTTGTCGCACCTTTACACACTTAATCAGAAATACTCATTCGTATACATTTTGCAGGAGGAGAAAGAAGTAGTATTCTCCAAAAGGGGACTTTAAACCCTGTGCCTTTGCAAGAATGTAGCAGTATATACCAGAAAAGAGTTCAAAAAGAGATAACAGAAAATCAAATCTGTGCCGTCAGCAATCCGAGCAGTGCTTGCCAGGGAGACTCCGGTGGACCTTTGCAGACTCAAAGCAGGGCTAATTTATTCACAGTCGTTGGAATCTCATCATACGGTATTGGCTGTGGCGGTCAATATCCTGGAGTTTACACAAGAATTAGTGGCTATTTAGACTGGATTGAAAAAATAGTTTGGCCAGGAACCGTGTAGTAAATTGCCATCTCAATACCCAGAAGTCGACGTAGCAGTATTTTTGATAACTTTTTCTAAAAAAATGTCATTATCTTTACCTCAAACGTAATTTATTTAAATGTTATTAATGATAGCAATGTATTTTTAAGAATATTACTCGGAAGAAGAAGAAAAAGTAATGTCCGAAACGTATGGAAATACAAAAAAATTATGATCGTGTTTTTTTCTAAAGATTTGTCGTCATGAAAACCTAAACACCAAAAAATCTACATATATTAAAAATTTGGAATAACAAGTTTGTTTTTCAGCACCTTCCAGAAAAATTGCAATTGTAAATCGACAAACCAATAAATAAAGGAGCGGAATGTGGGATACTCTCTAACAATATCAAAACAACTTTGTGTGCGCAACTAAATAAGTACATTATGGTGTCTTGAATTTGAAATTTAAATTTCGCACTGAGAGAAAAAACGCCGTGAAACCGCTGACAACAATTATAAGAAAAATTCATTCCATAACGTAGGCTAGGAACGGTGAGCAAGAGGAGCGCACGTAGACTTCAAAAAAAGGTTTCAAGTCCTATTTTTGCACGTCAGCATCACATATTGTTCAGAACATAGAGTGGAAACACGTGTTAAAAATAAGGGAATGTAAAATTTAGTTTCCAAATTAATAAAAGAGCAATCGTTCAAATAAAATGAATCGCATTCGACGCTATAGTCCCCGTTCAATGAGTGTAATTACAAGGTAATATTATTTATTAATAATTTTATTTAAGTATAATCTGAAATGATTAGAGCTATTCCATCACCACATGTTATCAATCGCCACCTTCGAGGTTGTTCTGGTGTTCGCCATCGAGACTTCCGGCAAATCGTTTCCAGACTTTTCTTTGTTCGGACGACGCCGTCACCAATGATGAGTCACCAGTCATCGCGGCAATGTACTAGAAAACCCATAGCCTTCGCACCGGGCAGCGTATGAGTTTACTTCGTAACAATATTTTATACCTTCTCATTTAAACTTCAGGATATCACTCTTGGTTGGGAATTTCTAAGTCAGTATTATCTCCTGCGAAAGCACTCACTCCCGAATTTCCAAAATACAAATTACTCTGACGCCACTGATAAAGATGCAAGAGAAACTGGGTGTGCAACGAATGAAGGGGGATTTTCTGCACATTAAACAACATTAAACACTTCAGAGAAATCAGGAAGAAGAGCTTGCGCATCGTGGACGCACTTAAGTAAACATATAACTCACACCAGTTGTCTGATAAGTCAGTCTGTGTTCATTTTTTATTAATACATCTCCAATACTAGGAGGACCACGTGATAGTGAACTAGTAGTGTAACAACAAAAAATGTTTCAAACTAAGAACTGGGCATTCTACGGTTTAGTAATTGGATTTTCTTTGGTTTACATCTATTGCAAACCCAATGAATTATATGGTAATTATAATTATTATTCACTTTTGGTCGATTAGTAGTCTGTGACAGTAGACGGATAAGAATTCTTTACAAACGTACAAATCATTTATTGCTGTTTATCTCAAAATGTCATCGCAAAATGTAATGTAATTTATTGCATTAGTAATCAGTAGTCTTAAAGATATTCTCAACATAACACTACGCCACAGACTTTTCTTTTTATTTCTTTTCTTAAATTATCTTAATGCATTTCTCAAATAAAAGCGTAATAAATATGGCGTACTTTTTATGAAAGGTTTATCCAAAAATTTCTTGACAAAGCATTATTTCCGGGAGGCTTAATCTATAGATTTTAATCTGTAATCTCTAAATCAATGTTAATATTTTGCAGAATTTTCAAAAAAATGCGTGACGTAGCGTCTAATTAGCTAAGATACAAATGAGATAACATATACGTAAAAAAAAGTTCACAGTATACTTTTCGTATGAGGTAAATTTTGAAATTTCTCGTTTTGAAAAGTATGTATAGATAATTCATCATTTCCAAGATTACTAGACAAAAGATTTCCAAGAATATTTTCGCATTCTACACCGTAAAAAATTGCATCAAAACAGATTTCGCACTCTATCTACGTGCGCCCATCACAGCCTCCCTTTATCTGAATAGTTTTGAATCATACGGTACTTCCTTAGCATTTTTGCTTGAGAAGTAAAAATTATATAGATAGAGTTCTACATTCAAATTTATATTAAATTGTTATTTTATAAAATATCTGAACCCATGGAGTTTTCCGTTTCAATTGACTAAAAAATGTAATTATTTCAAAACCTGCATAAAAGGCAATACACGACAATTGATGTTGAAGTGACGAAAAGATGAGTGAATTGCTCAAATATGTTTCCGTAAATATAAAACTGTATTAGGCGTTTTAAAGTGATAACTATGTTTGTGATTAATCATCTCAAACTTCCGTATTTCATTATCAAATACTGGATTTACTAGAACTACTATTTTAACGTAAAGTTAACAGTTGTAACAAAAATTTTCATAAACAATTTTATCGTAATAATAATAATAATAATAATACACTTGGGTTTTTCAAATGAATATTTTATAACAATCTTTGGTTTTAACATTTTTTAAGTTCGAATTCTGGGTATTTTATTTTTCCAATAATAGTAATTTATTCATTATTCATCAATATTTTAAATTATCGAAAACGTCCCAAAATATTACTGATGACTTAGTAATTTATCTTATAGAATACTTACCTGTTAATTACAATTATTGTTCCATTACATGCAACACCATGCATGTAACTTTCTGAAAAAACACTTAAAATTTTACAACAAACCATTACCTTTGAAATTACAAAATACATTAAGCTAAACTTTTACATACAAGTGGTAGTTTGGAATATCAACCAACATCTCGACTTGCTTAAAAAATTATCATTACTGGCTTCAAATAATTTCCATTGCTTTTTTCTTTTGTTGTAGTATCTCTTGTCAAATTTTAGGGATATTCTATGTTATACCAAAATCGCCAAACAGATGTTTCAATCAATTTTTGAACAACAAACCTATCGCTCTTGTTGGTTACAAAACACTCATTTTGAAGTCATTTAAAAATCTCTTTATTATGTACTATTAACTAATCTTGTTGTAAATTTATTGTAATTAAACGAAGGGGTGTGTACTTATGAAACTTGTGATTTTGGGTTCTCTTGATTTTACAAGTATACATTGGACGTCCAAAGCCCAAATAGGGCATTAGCGGAGGCTGTTCGTGTGATTTTCACGTGATCACGGTAGAAGTAATTTCACCACGAAAGGGTACAGGGGCGGGGCTTAAGTTGCGCGACTTGTAGCCGGGCCATCAGTGGCGTAACATCGATGCATTGAGAAGGGGTGCTCGGCTGAGTTATACTTCTTTCAAAAACAATTAAAAAAAGAGCAATTTCTACAAAAGAATACAGACAACCATTTAATCAAAATAAATTAATTTGTTTGTTAAAAAAATAGACTTACGTAACAATAAATTATGATAATCTATCGCACAAAATTTGGTATTTTTAATTATTAAACGAGTTTATAATGTGAGGGATTATAGCATGAGTAAAAAATTTCACGAACCCCTCATTATAAACCAGTATTATATACTATTTTATGGTCGACTAGTCTTAAATCAACAGTTACATCTTTAGATAAAAGAGGGGTTAAAATTCTGAGAATAAGCAACATATGACTATGATTATATGGTTTTTAATTTTCTGGCACAATTTATCGATACCGTAAAGTCGGATTATAATAAGGCTTAACGTTTTCTGTCTTTAACGTCGAAGTAATAATCACAGTTCATATTCTAGCATAATTGTCGTTTATAACTAGAGCTTCGACTGTACCGTAATTTAACAGTTATTATTGCTCACTAAAAATTACCTTCTTACTTCTTTTACTTATTTTTTAATCAACTCATACATCAAATACAGCACTAACAATTGTTTAAATTCTTTTTCTATAATGTGAACCCTAATAAAATAGAAAAGTGATATTTTTATTAACCGTAATATTTTAATATTTCAAAATCGAAACATTCATCGCCGCTGTCACTGCTTGCACGATATTTGTAAGGCCAAACCAAAACAATGTTCTGCGCACTCCCACCACCTGTATCCTTTCGTGTTGATAACTACTCTACTTGTCCGACGATTCTAGCATAGCTTTAGGTTTTAATAATAATATAATATTAATAATAATGGTCTTTATTATCAACCGGATTAACCTAAATACAGGAAATCAGTCAAAGTGCAAAATCAATTAAAGAAATAGTTATATATGTACAAACAATAAAACAAATACAAAGGTAAAAAATTCGATCAGTAGACTGAACATAGAGTTAACATAACATTGAAATTCCACTACGGCTAATAATAATTAAAGAAAATTTAGCATAGATATATGTATGATAATATGGAACAGTAATGATTCTTTCAAATAATACTGAACATAAGGAGAAGAGAAAGATATAAAGGGTGAGAGAGAATAATGTAATTATTAAAAGAAGAGAGTGGTGAAACTATACGTATTAACATTAACCTAATACACAATGTTTTTTATAACCCTAATATATATAAATTAGCCCTCCAGGCCAAGTTGGCCCATGGCTTGGTTGATTGCTTCTCGCCATTCCTTCCTGTTCTTAAGTTTCTTCCTCCAGTTTGAAATATTCGCCTCTGCTATGTCCTTTAGTACATCTTCTTTCCACCGTGTTCTTGGTCGTCCTTGTCGACGTTTCCCTCCTATACCACTTTCCAAAATTTTCTTGGGTACTCTTTCTTGCTTCATTCTCATAACGTGTCCGAACCATCTTAATCGTTGTCCTTTACCATTGCCACTATGTTCGGTTCATGATATAACTCTGCCAACTCATTGTTTGTTCTTCTTTCCCATCCATCTTCTGTTTTTTTCCCTCCATATATTTTCCTGAGTATTTTTCTTTCCCATATCTTCAACATCTTTTGTGCATTTATTCCTAGTGTCCATGTCTCACTTGCGAAAATTACAATGGGACGAATAATTATCTTGTATACCCTTAACTTATTACGTTTTATTGAATTACGTTCCCCTACAGGCCCGGTGGCCCAATTACAGGGGAACGGGGGACATACACCACACCCAGAGCCGGGCGGGAATCGAACCCACGACCCAAGGTGTAGCAGGCAAGCACGAAGCTACCTAACCCACCCGGGTCCTAACTTCAGACCTCTTGAAGAATTTCTGTTCATAATGTTCCTAAATGCGTAAATACTACGATTTCCGGCCATTATTCTGCTTTGGATTTCTCTTGTCATATCTGGTTTCCTATAAAATTCTGTGCCCAAATAAGTAAATGTTTCCACCTCCTTGAAGCGATACGTTTTTCCTGTATTTGTATTTACTCTCAATTCTCCTAGACTATCGTACTCTTTCTCAGTCCATGTCATTAGTTTTGTTTTATCTTCATTAATCTGCAGTCCCATTTTCTGCGCTTCTTCTTCCAGGTTTACCACAGCTTTATGTAGTGTTGTCCCACTTCTTGTTAAAATTGCTACATCATCAGCAAAAGCTAGACACTGATGACTTTTGTGATCTATTCAAATTGGCTTTCCTAACCACGTATTCCAACGCACAATTAAATAGAATTGGCGAGAGGGGGTCCCCTTGCCGTAATCCTTCTTTAACTTTAAATTTTTTTGACAATTTTACTTTGATTCTTACTCTATTGTCCGTGTCTTTTAAGGTGAGTTTTATCATCTTTATTAGCTTGTTTTTCATACCTAGTTCTCTTAGAGCTTCATATAACTTTTGGCGCTTCATTCTATCATATGCTTGTTTGAAATCTACGAATGACACAAAAGTGTCTTTTTTATACTCAAAACTTTCTGCTTGTATCTCACGTAGTGTAAATATCTGATCCACTACCGACCTGTTCGCCCTGAAGCCACCTTGGTACTCTCCAATTTCCTTCTCTACTTTTTTTATTACTTGGTCTTTTATATACGAGGCAAGAATTTTATAGACTACATTCAGAAGTGCTATTCCTCTATAGTTGGAGCATTTCATCTTATCCCCCTTTTTATGTACTGGAATGAGAATAGCTTCGTTCCAATCTTTTGGCATTTGTTCTTGCAGCCAAATTTGTTCTAAAAGTTTCTGTATCTTTTCTTCTAGCTTCTCTCCCCCGTATTTTAGTAATTCCGCCGTTATTTGATCTTCTCCCGGACTTTTGTTATTTTTTAATTTCTTTATTATTTCCTTTACTTCTCTTAGACTTGGTGCTTTCTCTTCTTCTTCACCATGGATATCTTCTTTGTTTAAATTTTCTTCTATCATTCCTCCATTTTCTTCCCCATTTAGGAGTTCGTCGAAGTACCTCTGCCAGAGTTCTAAAATTTTTTCTTCATTTCCTACCAGTTCACCTTTTTCGTTTTTATAGAACACCGAACTTGATTCGTATCCTTTTTTTTCTTGTTTCAATC